GAGATGAAGAAAACTCATGTTCATAAATTTTCTCAGAGATGTAGAGTCAGAGCTTCGTCTCCCCAAAGCCTACAAAAAAAAAATTGAATATAATAGAAAGCGTAGCCAAAAAAATGACTGAAAACTCGAAATAAATAGGTAAAACACGTTCTAATTCAATCTCCTTGGCAAACCAAATCGAATTAGGAAATACTAAAAATTTCCTTTTATGGTCGGTTTAAACAAGGGATCGATCGATCTGTGTGTTGGGAATGATCAATCTCGTTTGATTGGTCGATCAAAGTAGTTATGATGGTTTTTGGTGAAGCTCGAATCGATCGATCTGCCCATTTTTCTGCTCTTACTTCTTTCGCTCACCAGATTGACATGTCTTCACTAAAACTTTCATAACCTTCAATTGCACCGTTGGAATGACCTCAAATTACTCCCGAATGAAAGCTAACTCGACTCTCTATCTTATGTCAAGATATATGGTCGATCTATTGGTAGAAAATTATTTAACGAGCGCCAAATTTCTGACCATTTTATGTTCTTTTTTTCCATTTTTTGCTCAAATTTGCTTCCATTTCTTGTTTCTTTGCCTTAGAATTCATCCAAACATGTTTTAACTTAAAAATATTTTAAAATTTTAAAAAGACTAAAAAAAACTATTAAAATCATGAGTTAAAATGCGTAAAAAATGCAATACATCACAACCCCTCCCCCAAATCGTTAACAACCCCTTTAATGGTTAAAGATAATTATTTCTTTCTTGTTGGTTACAGACAAAGAGGTTAAATACATCAATTCCGATATTCAATTTTTGGTAATAAAGAAACATATTAATGAGTGTTAGGTTTGAGTCCTTGAGTCATTAAAGAGGTACAATTTTTTGTTTCATTAGATCATTCTGTTACTATCACATTGGGCAACGTTTCAATTTCTTTTACTATTATCCAATTAAAGTCATTGCCAACACAAAACTGTTTTGAGCTTAAAATAACGTACATCTCCATTTCGGAGTTCTAATCTATTATTTTAAGACACTAGATAATATAGAGCTCACATATAATCGAGACATTATTCAGG